ATGTGACGATGAAAAGCAGAGAAACTGGAAAAGCAGAGAAATGGAGAAAGGGAGAGAGAGAGAGAGAGTCCCCCAATTTGTCACCTCTGTCTATCCAATCGGAACGAATGAAAATGAAAAATGTGCCATATGCATTGTTACTTCTTCTCTCATGTTGCACGCATCAAGCGAAGTGAAAGCGGGAAATGTCGCTTTTTTTGGGAAGGAAGTGAAATGTTTGAAATGATTCTCGGAGCTAGACTCGCATTTTCAGAGAATTTTGAATAAAAATAACTGGCGAATGTTATCCTGGTACAAAAAAAGGAAGCTGTGGATGTGAAACGCTAGTGGCTGTGGCCGAAGGTCCCATAGCAACAACTACAGTAACCTAAAAATAGTTAGATTATCAAGATTTCTCTCTTCTTAATGATTTTTGTCGATAAACCTGTTTTCCCCCCAAAATCATCGAAAAATCTGATTTTTGGGCTCCGCGTGGCTTCGAAACCAGTCAATTCGAAACAGTGGTAATACAGGCGAAATGCTGATCTTTAGACTACAAAAGAAATATTAGAATTTCCAAATGATTTTTCTTCACATTCTGAAGATCGGAAAATTCAAGAAGTCATATTTTTTGAGAACTTTTTTTTGGATTTTTTGGATTTCCAGAATTTGTTCTATGAGAAATAGCATATTTCAAAACCCTAAAATTATTTTTGTAGTCTGAAATTCATCTATTCGCCTGTATTACAACGGTTTCGAAATGACGCGAAGCAGATTTTTAAGTGAAAAAATTGTCTGAAAGCTCACAGTAATTGAGATTTCAAACTCGGAGAATCAAAATGTTTCTAAGTTACGATATTTGTCGTTGTGAGACATTCCGGGAAAACCGCCATAACGGGTCTTTTCCAAATTTTCTCGACACGGTCCGGGCTTACAGTAATCTTTTCTTTTCTATTCAAAAATAAATGCTGTGTATATAATAATATAAACAAATTTTCGGCCAAATAAAAGTTTGAAAAGAACGGAATTACAATTTGTTTTTGCAAACTGTTTTTTATTGCTGAAATTTCAGATTTTTTTTTCAAAAGTGATAATCCCGGACCGGTCTGAACTACAAAAATATAAAAAGACGAACCGTGATATTTAAATTATTAGTGCCAGAAACTCCTCTGGAACTAGAACTACAGTAGTCTGCATCATAGGAAGTGAGAAAAACGTCAGTTCGGGTTCTGAAGAACAAGTGTGAGCTGTCTCTCTCTCTGGTCAAGAGAAAGCATAGTACTACTATCCTTTCTAGAAGTTACCCACGATCCTCCAGGGATTTCAAATTCCGTGTTTCTCGATTCTTCAAGAATCGAAAAGTACTAGGCGACGGGCTGGGGGGGGGGAGCTGCGTCAATTTCTGATGATTTACAACAAATTCCATTGGGATCTCTCCTCTTTCGAAGACGAAAAATCGGGAGAAATGTTGAAAAAGGAGTGAGTGGACGAAATAAGGAGAATGCGATTCTGAAGAACATATTTTTAGCACTTGAATGTGTTGAGCATCATTTATTCGAATTTTTATGTGATTGGATGGATGAAAGAAAAAAGAAACTTCAGATGAAGAATTGGTGTAGGAAGTTTCAAAAGATATATACATTCAAAGATTGAAATTGAAAATAGTTTAGGGTTACTGTAGTTTAAACATGCATAGGGTTACTGTAGTTTAAAAAGTATCAGGTTACTGTAGTACTACTGTAAATTTCAAAGAATTCGAAACTTTCAAAAATCCGAAAAATAACAACGAAAGTTCAAAAAGTTCAAAAAAATCAAAAATTCAATGCAAATTGATAAGAAAAGAAATTGTAGCAAGAAAAAAATGAAAAAGATGTGAAAAGATGAGCCAAAAATTCGGGGGGGGGGGGTACAATGATTCGGGGGTACAAGGGGGTACAACTGATTTAGGGGTACAAAATTGGTGATTCGGGGGTACAAAATTTGTGGGTACAAAAATTCGGGGGTACAACGATTCGGGGGTACAATCTACCAATGATTCTGGGGTACACCTTATTTCATTTAGGGGTACAACGCTTGTGATTCGGGGGTACAATTTTTTTTGACGAAGTTTCTGAATTCCTGAATTTCAGAGCTTGAAAATCTCTGAATTTTTAGAATTTCAGAACTTTGGAATTTCAGTATTTAGGAATCTGAAAATTTCGGAACTTCAGAAGCTGAGAATCTCAGAATCTCAGAATTTCAGAACTTCAAAATCTCAGAATCTCAGAACTTCGGAACTTCAATTCTATTTCAATTCCCTTTGTTTCTCAATATTCCTTCGTATTTTTCCCAATTTTTCTCAATTTTTTAATTTTTCTCCGTTTTCCTTCGTTTTTCATCATTTTTGCTCAAATTTTCGTGGTAATTTATCGAAAAAAAAAATCAATTTTATAATTTTTGTAATGTTTTATTGCCTGTTCGAACAATTTTCGATAGAAAATAGCTCATTTTGGGCGAATTTTTGGAATTTTCGAATTTTGTGGGAAATATCTAAATTGTGATTGTTTTCTTCAATCAATGATCTAGAAAATCATTTAAAAATGAGAAAAATTTTTTTTTCCCCCCCAAAATTGAGAAAAAAAAGGCGCAAAAAGCGAAGGGAATTTGGAACCAAAGGGAAATTGAAAGAATTAAGAAATAAAATTGAGAAACATTGGAAGTGAGGAAAGTATCGACTGGCATTAAAATCCGTTTGTAAAAATTGTTAAAATTATTTCACAGTTCTCCATTGTCTTTCAAAATTCCCAAAACCCCCCGATTTTGACCACTTTTTCTAGATTTTCAAGAAAATGAGGACATAAATCAAAAATCGAAAACGGAGCAATTGTAGCAAATGTCTCTGCGGTACTGATGGCGTTTTTATTGTTCTGGTTCTGCAAAAACCTGATGGACTTATGTACGGTTGAATAAAACCGGTTTTTCATAACTTTGCTCAAAGTGCTCCAATTTCAATAAAATTTTGTACAGATGATAGCTGAAGTCTTCAGTAATACAGCAAATAGTTTTTTTTTCTATTAAAATAGGTCAAATTGGTTCTTTTCAGTGGTTTCCATTACTCTAGTAATAAGCTTCTATTAGCCTAAAAAGGAGGAAAAAGGGGAGGGGCGTGAAAAATTAAATTTGGCTAGAGTGCAGACAACGAGAGAACTTTTCCAAATCTTTCACGCTGGGAGACCGTGAGAAAGTGAAAGTTTTGAAGTCCGACGTCGGAAGTTTGAAGTCGTAAGTCCGAGATCCATTGCTGACAGAAAGCTACATGTACGCTATCAATTGCTATTTCATTTTCTTTAAAATTTGATTTCGGTCATTTGGTAAAAGGGGGACGTTCAGTGATAAACACCTAGCCATGAACCCCAAACAATGGCGACCTGAGGCCTTTTAGTACTTTTTTTACTTCAATGACGTCGATCAGTCTTCTAAAAAAAGAAATAGCAATGAGTAGCGCATACGAGGCTTCGTGGCAGTGGGCAGCATCCAATTCCTTCCAGTATCCGTCATCCAACTTGGCCATCCTTGCCGATACCGGTGATCGTCGAGTAGAGAGGCCAGTAGTTTTTGTGTGTTGATCGTTCCTTTGCCATCCCAACTGCCCTGGAACCGCGTTACAAATCGGACTCCTCATCGACTCCTCGATCCGACTTTTTGTTGATTTCTCCAGTTTATATAGCCCCCGTAGATCAGATTTGGAGATAAGATAAGAAAAAAGTTCACGAAAGTAGTCAACACGCGAAAATTAAAAAATTCCCATTCATCTTTAGAAATTGGAAAAAGGCGTTACTGTAGTTTTCGGACCCAATTAAAAAATTTGAAAACAACAAAGATTACGGTAGTTTTTCGATTTATTTTTCGAAATTGAAAATAATTAGGAATACTATAGGTTTAGGATTCATTTTTAAGTTTTAAAAAATTGAGGATTACCGTAGTTCTCGGATTCACTTTTGAAAACTGAAGCAAATGTAGGACTACTGTAGTTATCGTAATTGATTTTCAAGATGTAAAAATGTGATTACTGTAGTTTTCGAATTCAGTGGTTTATTTAAAGAACACAAAAATATAAAGTTCATCCTTTATTCATTCAGTAAGCGTCGATGAAGCAGTTTTCGTTTTGGATCCCGGAATCATAATTTTCTTCTTCATCATGACTTTTTTTATTCTTCTTCTCCTTCTTTTTGTTCTTGTCCTCCTCCTCTTTATCTTTCTCCTTTTTCATTTTATCAGCTTCTTTTTTCTTCTTCCTTATTTCCTCTTCTTCCTCTTCTCTTTTCTTCCTTTCCTTTTCTATTCTTTGTTTCGCCTCTTCTACTACTTTCAAACCTTTTGGATATTTAGCATATCTGTGTTCGCAGATTGCAAGCATCATCCGACTCTTCGAAGCATGAATTTTCATATATGTCTTTTCAATTTCAGAAACTTCGCCAACTGTGTAAGGTCTAACTTGTGTTGGTTCTTGAGATTCCAAATATTTCAGAGTATCAAGATCCTCGTCGTCGCTCTCATCTATAACGAATCCGTTTTCATCCACATCAAATTCTGACTTTTTTGAAATTTCTGGAATTTCAGCTTTCGGTGGCTTCTGAAAAGTTTGAAATCAATTTCAGTCGAAGTTCCCTATCGCCTACCACAGCTTCATCCAGAACTATTTTCTTTTCTACGGAAGGTTCCGTTTTCTTTTCGTTATCAGACCATTTTTTCTTCCTTCGAGCACAAAACATAAATACTGGCCACGCCGTGATCAACAACAGAAATAGACTCTGAATTTTAATATTTTAGGATATGAAACTATATCAGCAAAGGACCTGAATTAGGAAAAAGTTATAACTCAACATCATAATTTTCTTGAGATTCGAATGGAAAAATGAGATTTTATGTAAATTTTCCCATTTTGATATGGTTTAATGAACTCGGCACTATGACATAGTTGTCACGCAGATTCCTTCGTGGATTCAGGATTCAAGCAATTTCGATTCATTTCCGTCATTATAATGCTTGTGGCCGGTCCTGATGATCGCGAGGTGATTCGTCAAACAATTGGACAGATTCGTGAACTCTACAAAGAAATCGTACAAATGCGTATCGAGGATCGTGCCAAGTACAGAGACATGTGCGCCAGATTGGAAATTCTCGAAAGGGATCGATCGTCTCGTTTGAAGAAGCATCGTCGTCTCGCGAAACAACAGGAACGTCTTCGTAGAAAAAAGGAAAAGGCGGCGGCGAAAATTGGAACTCCAGCAGGTGCATGTCCCGGAAGTCTTCCGAAGAAAACGCCTTCGAAAGTCGATTCTGCAAGTCACGATGGAACATCGAAAACTGATGAGAATGGACCAAATGAGGAGTGATCAATGTGAATTCGAACCATTATTTTTTGAATGAACCTGGTTTTTGTAAAATAAACAGAATTTTTGATATATACTTTTACTCTTTAAATTAAAAAAAAATGAGGGTTACTGTATTTCCCGGATTTTTTTTTCAATTAGAAAAAAGAGGATTACTTTAGTTTCAGGATTCACTTTTTTGAATTGAAAACATAAGGATTATTGTAGTTTTTGATATCATTGCAAAGTACGAAAAGTGCCGGTTGCTGTAGTTTTCGGATCAGTTTTCGAAAATTAAAAAATGCGAGTTACTGTAGTTTTCGGATTCTTTTTAAAAATTTAAAGAAACCAGGATCACTGTAGTTTCGGATATATTCTCAAAGTATTTAAAACTGTGCGGATTACTATACTCATTGAATTTTTCCAATATAATGAAAATTACCGTAGTTTTCGAAAGAAATTTTAAAAATTGAGAAAATGAGGATTACTGTAGTTTCGATGTCGTTTTTGAACATGAAAAGGATGGATTACTGTAGTTTTCGAATTCTTTTTTTATTAGAAAAAGAGGATTAGTGTAGTTTTCGGATTATATTTTCAAATTATGAAAAAAGTGCGGGTTACTGTAGTTTTTAGGTTTATTTAAAAAAGAGAATTAGTGTAACGTTCGGATTTTTTTAATTGAAAAAGAGGATTACTGTAGTTTTCAGATTCATTTTACAACATTGAAAATTTTAGGATTACTGTAGATTTTAGCGTATTTTATTTGAAGCGCCAAGGCGCGTTAGCCACACTAGTCAATTTGGAAATTGAATTGGAAAAACGGGAGACAGTAGTCTATGCCTATAGAATACGCCCAAAGATATCACACACTAGTCACAAAATTTGTATCCTAGCCTACTTTCTTCAATTTATAAAATCTGTCAAAACACAAACCACGTAGAAAATTGGGTGATAAATGCGGGTACAAAAGATGAGACTGTTACATCTGTCGACTGTATTGCCCCCATCTGAATCCATTGAAAAAGAAATGACCCACTATAAATTGATCTATTTCGATGCTCGCGGATTTGGAGAACCAGCACGTCAACTGTTTCATTTGGCTGGAGTTCCATTCGAAGACGTTAGAATATCATTTGAAGAGTTAATGCCTGGAAAACAGAGTGCATACTGGTTAGAGATGAAAGAAAGTGAGTTGAATATTCTAAATTTTTTACACCGAATCTCTTTGTTTTTCAATTTCAAAAATACATCCAAAAAGTACATTAATCATCAATTTTTCAATTTTGAAAAAAGAATCCGCAAACTTCAGTAATCTTTATTTTTTTATTTTAAAAAATGAAATTGGGAACTACAGTAATCCCCATTTTAAAAAATTTTAAAAGAAAATCCAAAAGCTACAGTAATCCCATTTTTTTCTTTTTAAAATCAAATCCTATTTCAGAAACCCCATTTGGAAGACTTCCTGTTCTTTCTATGGACGGATTCGAATTGGCCCAATCAGCAGCGATCAGTCGATACTTGGCAAAAAAGTTTGGATATTCTGGAAAGACTCCTGAAGAAGAAGTATGGGCGGATGCTATTGTAGATCAGTTCAAAGATTATATGGAATCGTTTCGTCTTTTTATTTATGCTCAACGAGAAGGAAAATCAGCCGAAGAAGTGAAAACGATTCATGACAAGAAATATGTTCCCGCTAAAAATCAGTTTCTAGAAGTAATTGATAGGATTCTGAAGACCAACAAAACAGGATATATTGTTGGAAATGGATTGACTTGGGCCGATTTGGTTGTAGCTGATCATATATTCACACTGCAAAATATAAAAAAGTTAGATGATGGTATTCATCAGAATCTTAAGAAATACCAAGAAAGCATTTATTCACTTCCAGAGTTGAAAGAACATATCGAGAAAAGGCCGAAAAGCGAAATGTGAATAAATGATTTTTTTTGATTGTCAGATTCTTTTTTAATTATTTTAAGTAAAGTTTTTGTGTGATGATTTGATTTTTCTGAAAATTAATAAGTTAAAAAGCTTCTAGAAAAATGTTTTCGTTCAAAAAATATTTTCCCATTTTTGTGGTATAGAAAAGCGTAACTATGGAAGAGAAACGCCGGTGGTCGAAGGTCCCACAACGGAAACTACAGTAACTAAAAAATATTTTCATTTTCAGGATTTGTTTTCTCGTTTTTTTACTGATTTTCGTCGGAGAATAAATTTGTCTGTTAGTGAATAATTTTCAAAAATCTGAAATTTCCAGAGATCTGAAAATCCGGAAGTTTCAAAAATCCAAAAGCTCAAAAATTCAAAATCCGAAATTTTCAAACGTCCGGGGTTTCTAAAAACCCGAAATTTAATCCAGAAAATTCCAAAAATGCAGAATTTCCAAAAATCCAAAAAATCCAAAAATCGAATTTTTTAAAAAATCCGAAAACTTAAAAAATCCGAAAATTCCAAATTTTCGAAAATGAGACCTTCGGTCATGGCAACCGGCGTTACTCTTCCACATCTCTGATTTTCGTACCAGAATAACAGTTTTGTTTGGATTGTCGTCTTCCTTCCAATAAAGGTTTTGTGAGAAATTAGCTTCTGGAAAACATGCTTTGGCTGAAGAGTTTTCCCCTTAACCTTTATGCTAATTTCTTCAATTCTTTAGACCAATATTCGAAAAATTCGATTTCTCAAACATCTACTTTCCAATTCTAAATCTATATTTCAATCCCACACCCCAATAATTTATTCACCATCTCCTCATTTTCTCATTTTTGTCACACTTCCCTATGGAGAATTCTCTCTCCGTCTCCAAATATCTCTTGTTATTTTGATCACACCTCCATGGCTACCAACGAATTATCATCAGAATTTCCATCGTTTTGTGCTTGAATTCATCCCCAAAACACGTTTTGTCACAAAATCTTATGCTCGAAAATGCTGACAAATGGCTGCTGTGATCCCATTTAGAGCTGATGCTGAGACTCTCTCTTGCGAAACGAAACCAAACATCGAGAAAAGGGCGAAAAGAGAAAAGAGAGTATAGAAATTGAGAATAGGACATAGACACAACCAGCATAGTATAAATAGGGCGGCAGTTTCGGTTATTTATCAGAGAGTGTGTGGTTCAATTTGTTTTATTTCGTCGCTTTTTCTTGCACTTTTGAATATATCAAACCTTCTCGATTCTTGCAGAAGCTTCCTAACCATGCCTTCTTACAAATTGACCTACTTCGACGTCCGCGGATACGCTGAACCAGCTCGTATTTTGTTCTATTTGGCTGGGGTTCCATTCGAGGATAACCGTATCACACACGGAGATGGTACCTGGGAGAAGCTCAAAGACAGTAAGTTTACCACATCATTATCCTTATTAATATTCTTCTCCTTTCCAGAGACTCCATTTGGACAAGTCCCAGTCCTCTCTGTCAATGGATTCGATATCCCACAATCAGCTGCTATCGTCCGTTATCTCGCCAATAAGTTCGGATATGCTGGAAAGACTCCAGAGGAGCAAGCATGGGCTGATGCCATCGTTGACCAATTCAAGGACTTCATGGGATCATTCAGACAACTCATAATGGCTCAACGTGCCGGAAAGTCAGCTGAGGAGATTGCCAAGATCTCTTCAGAAGTGGCCATTCCAGCAAGGGACTCGTACTTCAAGATCATCAATGGAATCCTTGAGAAGAGCAAGTCCGGATTCCTTGTTGGCAACGAGCTCACTTTCGCTGATATTGTCGTCGTCGAGAACATCACCACTCTCGAGAAGAACCAATTTTTCACTGCTTCGGAGCATCCAAAGCTCACTGCTCTTCGTGAGAAAGTCTACGCAATTCCAGCCATCAAGACCTGGGTCGCCACTCGTCCTGATACTCAATTCTGATTCAAAACCTGATCTGATCTGAAAATGTGCATATATTTTGCTAAATGAATAAACCTGATATACAATAATCAATCATTCATTCATTCGTCGATTCTTTTCAGAAAGGCAGTTGTTAGTATGTGGGGGTGCATGCGCATATAAATAAAATTTCTGAGAAAAATGGGGTCAAATTATCATCATAGAACAGGAAAAAACGGTGGTTAGTAGGCAGGCGTGATACGACTGAACTCTTGAATCATGCCAGTATACTTTTGGATGAATCCGATCGACTTGAAGCGGAGACCCAGTGCAGCTCGTTCATACCATTTCGTGACGTATGGCTCGATCCAACGAAGAACGACACGATAAATGAAGAGGTAGAGAAGAGTTGATGAGACGGAAAGACGACGTTGGAGGCGCACGAAGACGCACGATTGGAGGATGAGGGATTTGGTAATGGGTGAACCTCGAATGAAGTGCATGAGAGTAGTCTCGATAGCTACTAGTGTTCCTGCTTTAGAGCATCCATCCGTGCAATGTACGATTGTAGGTGTTGAAAGTTGGCGAGCTCTGAGAAAAATCGAAATAAGCACAAACAAAATAAGGTTCAACCTACTTTCTTAGCACACGGAACGGCCAATGGACATCTCCTAAATATTGCCAATCCCACTGCCAATGCTCTAATAGGAGCTCCTCATCACATTCATCGTCAGCCAAGTTTCCTCCAATTTTCTGTAACTTCAGTTTGGCGATGGTGAACAGCGGATCTGCTTTAGAGTCAACAGAGACACATGTGATACGGAATGATCCGAATTCTAGAAACTCTTTTTCAGCACGAGGCCAGTAGTACGGGCAATAATTCCGATTTGCCGAATCCAGAGGACCAAGAGTGGATGAATCGACGGCGGAGTTGAGCATTACAATGAATTGAGATTTCTCCTGGAAAACCATTCTCCAGAAGTCTTCTTGAGTATTCTGCAAAGGAGCTTGTGCGCATATGAAGGTGTTCAAAAGTGGGCCTCCTTTGACGTAGTTTGCATGTATGAAATTTGTTGTTCCGCTGGAAATAAACACACTTGATGTAATAAAAAAATACAATCACTCACTAGGTGGTTTTCAAAGTGCATCCCTCCTCCTGCAGAAACTCGTGTTCACTGCTGAACATTCCATTTCTCAATGCGTTTCTGTCATCCAGTTTACCAAGTCCATCGGTTAGTTTGACTCTCGAGTAATCTGCACATGGTACCATTTTGCTTCGTGCTTTTGTCAAATAATTAGCGTTGAACGAAGTTTGCGCTGCTTCCTCGTCGGAAAGCTCGCTGCTCACAAACATTCGTTCGAGCCGATTGAATTCCTGCACGAATTCTGTCAGGTGGCAACTGAATTTTCCTGGTTCCACCAACAAAGACCATTTCACTTTGGACGACATTTCTTCGGAGAACTTAGCGATTCGAGAAGCCACCATGGAGACGTGTTCCGGGTTTAGCTGACCCCAATTGCACAATGGATCGCTCTGAACAGAACGCTTGGTTTACATCAGAAATTTCTTTAATTTTTACCATTTTGTCTTTATAAAACTCAGAAGCTGCTCGCTGTAGCACAGAACTACAATCAGACATTGTCGGTACCAATCGATCACGGAGCCATCCTGCCATTGGACTTCTGAAAAATTAGGAGATTCCGGAATTTAAAACCTTTTGTTCGAAAACTTACCCGTATCTGTGAATGAGCTCTTCGTGTGCGATCGTTGGATATTCTTTAGCGTTCATAAGCTTCTCAACCAGCAAGATTCGCGTTTGTTCATCGCACAAAATTCCATCGACACGGAATAACTTTTGGGCGATGAACGTCTGCAATTCTTCGAGTTCGTGCTGCTCGACGCGCTCCATCAGCAGTTCCTCTTCTGACTTCCCACCACCGAACCATCCTTTCTTCTTTTCAGGCTGGAAAAGATTATAAAAACGTTGATTTCGGATTAGAAAAGAGTAGTTACAGCTTTCGGCGTCAAATGTCCTTTTCGTCGATTCGCTGATTGCACCCACTTCTCATTAATGATGGCATCTTTGAATTCAATACTGTTAGATCGTGACAAGTTCGAGAGAGGCAGAAGATGGACGCCAGATGTGTCCATTCTGAAAATAGAGAGACTCTTCAAATTAATGCCGCGTTCAAAGTAGACTCCAGGAACTGGAAATTGATAAACGTTTTTTCGGGCGACCCCATCGTTCGCCTGCTTCAGATTGCGCCACCGTAGCTCAGCAGGAAGCAACTTATCACCTCCAGCGTTGAGTCCACAATTTCAACTCCTCGAGGGGCGTTTTTAAACGGGACTTCGAGAAAAACATATTTTAATGTCCCCCCACCTTTT